CCAACATTGAAAAATGCCCCGGCATTAAGTGGTTAATGTGTGCATATTCATGCCAACACTTCCAAGTGTGATGATCCTGTAAACCTAGAGAATTCTGCCAAGAGAAAAATACAGTGATGATTTATCAGGTGGCAGGTGACATTGTAGTGGTTGTTTCACCTTGAAGTACTGGGAAAGAAATGGGTCATCCCAGGGGGGGACTTTGAAAGGTGGATAACATGATATCTCATGTTGCCTTAACAACAGAAAAGAGCTCTTTTCAGTCTCTGTTTTAGAAGATTCTTGTAACTTTTTTTACTTGTTTATCTTTGCACCCCCACCTGTTTATGGTGCCCCTTTTAAAGCATATTCTCTCGTGCACGTCTTGGACATAAACAAGTACGTTGTATATAGAAGTCTACCTGTATATGCTTATGCCCTTGGTGTGCTAAAAACATTGGGAATGTACATATTTACTTAAAAGGTCAGAGTGTCCACTCATCCTCTGCTGTATTTTTTTTAATTCTCCTGCGCACTGAAACAGAACCATCGCTGTTTGCCACATGAACCATACTTAACAAGGTCGCCCTCTCCCCTCATCCCCCAGAAATTCTTCCAAGTAAAAAAACCAATCTCAAAAAAGACACAAGTTGAGTTCCAAATACTGTACATGCAGTCTTCTTTCCTTTTGCATGTGTGATGCATTATGCATTGAACATTGGGAACTCACTGGTGCAGGATCTCTCTCACTATCAACATGTTACGCTAGGCGAGTTTCAGTTGGCTGTGAGTGGATTTGAACAGGGAATGATTCATGCAAGGGCTGTTTATTATTCATGAACATCAACACCTCCAAAGTCATGGTCATCACTGATTCATGCGTGGACTTGGGGAAATAAAGGTTGTGTAAATGGGTCTGTTGTAACCAGGGTGACTGATCCATTTCCCAGTCCTGAACCTTTTGTGTCATTGCACAGGGGTGTATGGGCTCCATGCATGGATTAACGAGGGCGCTCTGTGTACTAATCATAAAGACCAGTGGTGGGCAGTTACATGTACTTTGTGCTAGTCAATGTGTGTTGTGCTTCATATTTGTTCTGGGGAAATCAGCATTCAACAGGGAAAGTGAAGGCTGACCTCACTGGTTCCCCTACATTTTTAATCACCCATTAATGTTTTAAATTTTACCACGTACCGGGCAAGTATCTGTATGTTATCAGAAATGTTTTGTATTTTTCCCCTCCTATAGCATACCAAAGTTGTCATGTTACAAGCACCCTTTAAACCAACACACACTAGATGTTCTTTGGAATAGTTGTGTTCTTTAGAATAATTTTGATCTGCAGGTGTAGTTAATAGATGAAACAGAGTTCCGGCAGGAATCTTTTGCTGTCTGTCCTCAGTTTTGTTCTGTATTGTTTCCTGGATCTCTGGTGTTGATCTTTTTTTTTCTCAAAATTGTCTGTTTTTCTTGATATTTGAAAAATTGTGTATTTGTTGGTTTTAGATCTGAAGATTCAGATTGTGTAACTTGTCAAAGTTTGACCCCTGTAGATTTTGTTACCAATGTACTTCTTGTTTGTTTTATTCTCATTTTAGAAACACGGCTCCACACCCAAAAGTATCAAACCAGCCAAGCTTGATGCAGAGGTGAGTTTGAAGGAAGGGGATGACTGGGACAGCACCAGACCACTATGGTCAGTGGTGTTGGAATGTTGCAACCATACTCCAGGAGTCTTGGCTGCAGCTGGTCGTGCAGTTGTGTCTGTGGGAAGTAGTGTGATGTTTGAGACCATCACAAGGCCAGTCACAAGGCCAGTCACAAGACAAGGCACAAGGCCAGTCACAAGACCAGACACAAGACAATTCACAAGGCTGGTCACAAGGCCAGTCACAATTCCAGGCACAAGGCCAGTCACAAGACAAGGCACAAGGCCAGACACAAGACCAAACACAAGACTAGTCGCAAGACCAGTCATTAGATAAGACACAAGACAAGATACAGAAACAGACACAAGACAAGTCACAAGACCTGTGGCACGACAAGTGGCATGATAAGTCACAAGTAAAAGGATGGACAGTGGCAAGTGAATGCTTTTGTGGTAATGATGTGACAGGCATTTTTACCACAAAATGTACTTTGAAAATTAAACCCTTCTTCATTGAATGCAATATTTCCTGGTGCCTTGTTTCTATCATCAAGTGTTTGTCTAAGTTTTATCCCTGCTCTTTACTCAACAACAGTTCAAGTGACTCGCCATGACTTGTATAGCTATTGGGTATGAAACTGTCCCCGATTCACGGATGTATTCATTTTCACATTGTGATTGCACAGATTTGGCACTGAAGAACAGGATTTGATATCTATTGTAGAAATCTGACTTCTACATACAGAGTAACCTCTCAATGATTTGACTCAGTGTCCCAGCATGTCCAAGACAATTGATTTCAGAAGACTTCCCGACAAACCCTGTTGAAGTTGCATATGACAGCTTGAATTGCTCCAAGAGAAATCATCATGCCTGTTAACACTATTTTATTTTCGGTGCTTTTAGTTTTAATTTACATGTAAGGCCTGTCATGTTTCAAAAAGTAGGAGAGCCTGAAGTTTCGATTCTAGCAGAATCTTTCTGAAAGGCACAAGGAAGCATTATTTAGGGTCCTCCAGTCATGTTTGATATATGGATTGTGCTTATTTACCCGTCGTTTATTCACTTGTCATTATAAGTGTGTTGTGGTTGAAGTTTTGGATGTCTGATGTAAAACTCCTTAGCTAAGACTGTCGAAGTACAATACATTTGACAGTGATGAATTTATAGAAATCTTATCGGTGCAGCCTGCTCATTAAACCTGAATTGACCATCTTGGGCATTTTGCAAAGGAGCTTTAAGTAATATCATCACCTTGATGGAGTTCTTTATCCTTCACAAAATTGGCTTGGGATGTGGTTTCTTGTGAATTTTCGTGATGTCAGGATTTTGACGTAAGCAGTGGATACTTAGTGCAACAAAGTCAAATGCAAGATTCAATGATCATTTTGAAAAGAGTCACAATAGTCCATTGCTGTTATTATTAAAATCCCTGTAGTGGATGTTTTTGGTGGATTTCTCTTCTCCAAATCTCACTCCTGATTGTCACATCATAGGCACCAAATTTACATGTAAGTCACAGCAGGAGAACCCTTAACAGTGCTGCCAACCCAAAGTGCAGGTTTTGAATCATGGGGTAGGGAGAGAGAAGGGATAGTACAGGTTGCACAAAGGGGAGAGATAAGGACTCGCCATTCTTTTCTGTGGCCCACAGGAGCAAGCCAAGATTGCCAAGCTGGGTCTGGAGATGAAGCTCATGACATCAGAGCTGGACGCTGAGACGGACAAGTGGGGCGACCAAGACAATGACATCTTGAAGCGGGCCAAGAACATGTCCAGCATGGCCTACTCCATGTACCTCTTCACCAGGGGAGAAGGCATGCTGAAGACCACTCAAGATCTGTTCAAACAGGCGGAGGTGAGTGATATGGCAGGTGGAGTTGCTCTAGCTCTTAGTCTGAGCGGAAGATAGAGGAATGATGGGTTTCTCTCTCTTGCAAAAGGATGTATTTGAAAATAAGATTCAAATAAACAAGGGCTTCCTCCCTCTGAAATGTACCTGGAATTGTACAAATGTAACACAGTTTGAAGGTAGATAGTCGGTATACTTTAATGTATTGGAAGTTGGCAAACCGGTTCCCTCAGCTTTACCTCAACTCTTCAGCTTCCAGTACATGTACATGTACCTCTGGGAGCTAATGTTAACTGTCTACCCAAAATGAACCATGTTATGTATATTTTACAAAACCTCATACATGTGACAACATTGAGCAATAAAACCAAATTATGTGTATAACTGTGGTGACGTCTGCATTTAATTTCAGGTACATGTAGACTTGAATTGTCATTTCTGATTTGTCGATCCATGGCAACAAACAGTGTGTCATATAACTGTGTTGCACGGTCCATGTCAACCCCCGTGTAATGCGCTATTCTAACTCTATGCAATGCGCTATTTTTACGCTAAAAGCAAAATGCACAACTGTAAAATTTACTGTTAATTCAAAGGTGGTGCGTTTTCGCATATTCCTTTAGGCCCCTATAACATCTTTGCTGCATGTCAAGTTTGCTGGAAGATAAATTCATTATCACACTCTTGCTCATGTGATAACTAATAGTGTGTACTGCCCCCATGTGACAGTTCCATGGGTACTTTGCAAAGTGCATGCATTGTAAACTTTCACCCTGGTATGTCAGGCAACAGTTTACTGTCCATGCATATGCATATGCACTTGGTGGTGATTAGACCAGTTAGAATTTAGCTTTTGGTCACGAATATGCATGAGGAATAGCAAAGTAACTAAGCCCCCAGTCAACCCAAGATGATAGACAACATCACACAGTTGAATACTTGTATACTTGAATGGATAGCTAACCTTGTAGTTTGTCTGCCATTCCTGCCGTCAGTATTTTGGTGAGGAAGGCAACAAGTTATTCCGATCCCTCAAGCAGTTTGCTGCCCAAGTGCCTGACGGCTCCCTGCGGATTGAGCTGTTGTCCCTGGTGGACCAGATTCCATCGTACTGTCAGCAGCTTCTCTTCATTACCAAGTCTCCCACGATGGGCAAGGTGGCAACCTTCAACAAGGTACAGTGATATACAGTGTGAGCCCCCAGCCCTTTTGCCTACCCAGGGGAAACCTTTTCATTGTTCTGTAGTTGAAGAGAACAGCTCCCTTGTCTTCCATGCATAACAGGAAGTTATCAGAGAGCCGCAAAATGTTCCATAACAGTCTCTCTGCTGTAGGGTGCATGAAATCTTTTAGCAGTATCTACATGTAGCAGAGTCTAAGATATTTCAGACTTTCTTCATATGTACATACTTGTCATTGTCCTGAAAACATATGGCTGCTTTTGTGTCACATCTTCTGTCCAGCCAGGCTGAGGTGCACTCCTGGAATGCAGAGATACTCAGAACATGTGCGCATTCTGTCCAAATACTTGTACATGTGTGGTCACACGTGCTCTGCACTATTCCTAAGCACTAACATAACCAGTGCACTTGCGCTATGTGTTTTGCCTTGGTCCTCCTGGGTAAGACACCCAGTAGCATTTACACATATACATTTACATGTACGTAGAGTTTGTAGCATGCTCTTTAGAATGAAGTCATATGTAGAAAATGTTTCAGTTAGTAATGGATTGGAGGCACCTCATGTGAATAGGCTAGTTCTGGGCTCCGTAGATGACGAAGGCATTGTGTGGCCTACGAAGCAGAACCAGTTTATACAGCTGGTGCGTGTCCTGGTTTGTGTACTTGTGGCTTGGAACACGCGTGACCAGTTTTCCTCTGAATGCATGCAAATGTGCAATATTTTGGTGTGAGGGCTGGGACCATTTTGGCAAAGGCAGAGTGTCATATGCCTCTTCTTGTCAAAGAGTCTGTTGTTATTGAGTTTCATACACCCTCAGTTACACTTTTCTGTTTCTTGAGTTTTCTCAGACATTTACATGCTTAACTGTTTTTGACCAGTTTGAATTTATTGCTTGGCTTCAACAGGTGGACAACACAATACAAGAAACGCAAAACCTTTTGTCGACAATCAGTAGAATTGTGCCGCTGTGCTACACACTGGCAGCCAAGGTAAGTAGCGAAGGATTCTGTCATAACTGAATAAAAAAAGTGGAGTTATGGCAAAACCAAAAGCCTTTGCTGTAGAGATCGCTCAGATTCTTGTTGTCAGTTTGATTTTGCTGAAATACATGGACAAAGCAATGCTCACGGTTTTAATACAAAATTATCCTAACTAACCAAACGTCCATAAGTTAGAACTCCGCAGTAGTAATCCTTAATGGCAGGTGCATAGGCCACCTGCTATTGGAACTGGTATCCCAAGCTTGCCAGCAGTCTGAAGCAGTGAGTCTGGTACCTCACCTCCCTCAGTCCCGTCCCCCATCCTGTTTCTGCTTTTTCTGTTTCAGTTTGACCTGATATTCCTTTTCTCTTCTGTCAACATCGTCAATATTTCAATTGTTCCGTCCTTTCTCTACGGGAGAAGATTTTCAGGTCTTACTCACTGCATGGTATTTTTACAGGCTTTGGTCAGCCATTACTCTTCCCAGTATCTTCTCTAATGTAACTTGTGTTTTATACCCAAATTTCATTTTGTGTACCGTTCATTGACAGAAGCATGATTCATTGTCTATGTCTGTGTAGCCTATTATTTGCCGGCTTGTTTGGTTCCTTGTCTTCAAAGTGTGCAAGCCCTTGGCTGTTGAAGTTTTCTTCCAATAAGTCCTTGTAATGCCAATGATCTGCTCTCACACGGGTTTGCATGTGACTTACATGTATATTCCACACGTTTACCCCATGCCTGTTGCATGTATTGTCTCTTCTAATGCCTGTTTCGTGCTGGATTGCTGTGTAGTACATTTCTGTGCTGTTTCCCTCGTGTATGTCAGCTAATCCTCTCTCGCTCGGTGCCTTGTAACTCCGGATTTCCCCCATCCCAGTAGCTCTTCTCCCAAACGCCATGCATGACCACCGTGCATATGTGTATGCGTTGGATTTCAGCCTATCGTGCCAGGTGGATTGCCTCTTTGAGCTCATTCTGTTGTAGTTTGAGGATGATTGAAATTGGCAGAAAGAATAGCTGTATCTTACAGGGAAAAGCTATGCCTCCAGATATTGTTCTTGAACAGCATGGACAGTTTAAATTGAACAGTTGAAACAAATGGAGAGCCTGTTGTGAACAATTTGAAAAAATGTGGAAATGGAAGTATGGTTTCTTACTTAAGAGTGAACTCATGGAACTACCAGGAGTGATGCAGGATTGGGTGCAATCGTTGTTTCTTCTGTCATATATGTTTCTTTCACTCTGTGGCTTTTATCCTCTGTGATGTCCGTACCTTTCAGCCATACTATGTTCAGGGACTTCTCTTACGTTAATCTCCATCCCTGCTCTGGTTTACTTCTATTTTGGCCGGTCTCCAATGCTTTCCTCATTTGCTCCCATTTTTGGCTTGTATCTCTTGTATCTGTCCTCTGGCATTTTGGCATTTAAAGTCTCCCTGCTATTCTGTGTTATTTATAATAGGGCTGTGCCGAATATCTGGATATTCGATCGAGTATCAATTATTCAAATATTATTTTCCGAATTCGAATATTTAAATGCAAAATTCATTAAAATGAGGGAAGAATTTTCTTTTTGTTTTAAATGCGAAAAATTTCACTGTGGAGGTTTGTTTCAAGCAGACTCAAATGAAAAGTGACGGAAATCTTACGATTCAAAAATTAATTCATTACAAAATTTTAAAGGACAAGAAGTGTTGTTCTTCTCTAAATTTTGCTTAATCATGGCTGGAGATACTCCCAGATGTGAGAAGCTATTACAGTGATTAAAGCGTACAATTTTGTGTGATATTGCAACTGATTTTGTATATGGATTGTTTATCAACAATCTGCTGGTCGATACAAACGAATAATCGGATATTCGATAGAAGTGAAGGTCGAATATTCCAATAGTGAATTATTTGAATTGACTCAGCCCTAGTTGATAATTGCAAAGGTTGCTTGGGTGTCAAACTGCATACAGTTTATTGAAGAGAAAAAAATATGATTTTGCATGAAAATGATGGAAATCATACACACAGATAAATTTTGGATGAGAATTTGGTTAATCCATTTGAAACCTAAATTACGAGCACATGTACCAATAAAGTGCAAGACATCCCATATCAGACCTGTCTTAGCAGAAATCACCTTTTCTTCTCTTATTAAAAGCATGCATGAAATGTTGCTAACATTCAGAAACTTTTGAGTTGGACATCTTGTCCTTCCAGTTTATCCTCTCCTAATCATCATTTGTCTTTCCTCAAATACTCATGGTGTCCTCCATCCATGCCTTGCGTTCTCAATTCAACCTAATCTCTTTTTAAACTACCCATCATTTCTCCAACCCCCTTTCCCCCAAATAAAAAAAACCCTCTCTCTCTCTCTTGGTAACCTCCAACTCACGAGAAGACCCCAACTCCACCGCCTTCCAACTCTTTTGACCCCTGGTGTTCCAAATCCCTCCACGGTCAGCCAAATCCCACGCCGTCGTCCCCCGGCCTTCTGAGTGAGGACAAAACGGAGGCCTACAACGCGGCCTACAGTGTCAAGTGAGGTTGGTGCTCCCCCGTCGCTTCTCGTCCACACGTACCCACACAGAGAGTTGTAGCTGTAGAAGAACTTTTTTGTTTCTTTCAGTTTTTCTCCTTACTTTCTTTCCTGGGGTTTTTTTCTTTTCATGCACCAGATTTACGGTAGAAAAACTTTTCTGTGTTTTATTTCAATTGCTCATGCTTATTTATTTCACGTTTTCGTTAATTTGGGATTGTGTTCTCCTCAGTAGATAAAAACAAAGATTTTTATTTGCCAAAGCCAGCTAAGGAAATAGAAAATACAATAAGGTGTTGAAGTCTTTACAAGTTCACAAGTCTATTGACAGTAATAGTCTAACGATAAGCTGCCTGGTGAACTCTGACTTTGGCCTACCTATGTTGTTGACCTACACTGTGCATGGTACTTGAGACCAAACTTCCAGCAGATTCATGGGTTGACAAGCTTTGTGTGTGTTGGATTTACGTTCAACACCGAAAAAGCCAGTAACAGTTTTATTTTTGCTTTTTTTCCCGACTGCCTTGAAGTTAAATTTGAAATCCTATTACTTGAACTTTTTTAAGGCTGAAAAGGTTTTTAACTTGTGCAAATGATGACATTAAAATGAATGGTAGGCAATGATTGTATGGATTATGATAACTGTGCATGACAATGCCCGCCCCCTTTTTTTTAGTTCTTGTTATCCCCATCATCGGGTTTAAGGGGTTTGAAATTTTATTAAATTTCATTTGAGTAGTTCTGGAGTATTGTCCCTACCTAAAAAAAGGCAACTTGTGATTTTTTAACACAAGCATTTTTTCCTGTACCTGAGAATTTTTGCCCGGTTTAAATTCACACATTTTTATTTCTCAGCACATATTAAAATTTCAGTTATCAGTATGGTGGTCTCCTTCAATCTTTATTTTTTATTTCAACTAATAGCAATCACTTATAATATTACTTTTCTGCTACATGTACCGGTGTAGTGACTGTGTAGAACACATTTCGATTTTAATTTTGTCATTTATGAGCTCTAACTTTGTTTTAAAAAATTTCTTAGCTTCTGTATCTTTGGAATTGATTGAAAAGCACCCGTTTCTAATGTTGCTGCATTACAAGAAGTTAAATACAGTGTAAGGAAAGAAGGTATCAAGGAAAAAGGATAAAGGCATAAGGTTTGCAGCACTCTGCAGGTGCATTTCTACATGAATCTGTGCCTGACAATGGAATTTGTGTTGTGTGACTGTAACGGTATCAGACTTCTTTCGCATCATTAACGACCTTTTCAATCATTCAGTGCGAATGCACAAGGATAGTCTCTCTGGAATAAGGTTTAAATATTGTAGGCATAACAAAAATAGACCCTTTGACGGTGAATAGTGAATGACATTTCATGGACAGTGTAGATGTACAGTACGTGTAGGTTGCTGTGGCTGTCTCACTTTTCAATCATGTTAGTAAGGTTCCGCAGTTATGCCCAAACGTTAAGATACAAGGAGTTGAGTTGCAAACTATACAGTAAATGTAATGGACGTGTACATTTTCAAGCCTTCCTTTGAACTATTTTTGTCTTTCACAATTGTCACTCAGCTTTGCTAGGTAATATAGCGAGGCACTTTGTTCAAGATGCTATCGCAAATGTTCTTCCTAAAAGGTAAAGGGCGTTTTTGAAGGTTTTGTCATCAGGATCACGTTGGAAAATGCCGAGGAAATGGCATGTGGACAGCTTGTTCGGAAGTGGAGAAAACAATCCAAGAAATTCAAGCATCTCACTGTCGTCTGATACAATCTGTATGTTTCCACCAGGTGTCCATAATGGGCAAACATTTGCCTTCACAGAAAAATATAAATTTCACTGTTCACCCATTTCACTGTTCGAAATTTGGAAGTAGGTTTGAATGTCACCTTTTGAAATCAAACATTTCCAATAAAGATGTTGACTTTCAGATCATTGATTCATTACTAACTTTCACAACAGTTTTTGTTTACTTTAGTCACTTCACTAGCTAACCCAAAATAAAAGTTGTTTGTTGTTGATTTTATATGTATACTTTCACATTTATTTATCTTTTTCTCTTGTAAAGCAATTTCTTTTACACACAGCACATTTACTGTATTTTAATTTCATTTTGTTTCTGATGTAAGAATCTAAGATCAGCTTTATATTGAATGCATTGCTGGCTACAGTATAAAAAAAACTCGTCCTGCAAAAGTGATTTTTGGTTTTGGTTTGCATCAGTTTTTAGGCTTGGCTTTCCAAAATTGGACTGTATTTTCTAAGTTACACATAATTTCATGATGAAACTCATAAAACTGGAAGAACCTTCAATTGGTGACATCTGCTTGCAAATCAAGACAGACAGTAGAGATAACGGTAATTTGAGCCTTTCAAAGGAACCAGAAAATTCCTTTTGAATTGTTTGATGTATCAGTATGCTTTACTCATGGAAAGTGCTTAATGTTGTCAACTGCTGGTAAGAATTTTCCATCTGTAACTGATCAACAGTATAACAAGTTAAGTTGTTTTTTAAGTTCTTGGCTGCAGCATTCCCAGTGATTCCCAATGTTTTTCCTTTTCTTCTGTCTTCAGTTCCAGATCTTAACTCCAATATCGCCTATTCACCGGTGGCGAACAGCGCCCCCTAGCGTAGACTATCGTTACAACAGTTACGATGACAGTGATTCCATCGCCAGCTCCAGCAGCAGCCGTTCAGACCGGTCTCCGCTGCCCGGAAGCACTGAAAAAATCCTGTACTGAAGACGGACAGTGAACAGCTCTCGGGAAAGAAATCTTTCCTTGGGTTTCCCGTAGGAGGGGTCTACTTCCCCAGCTGATGCTTGGACAACTTTGTGCAGATTGGTCCTTGAAAGGTGCCTGGGAGTGATTCCTGTGGGAGATTTCTCCATGCTGTGCCAGGCACATCCGTGTGGAATGGATGGGTTTGTTCCGGCAAGGCTCCTATATAATATACCTGTGGATTGATTTCTGCACATAGAATTTCTGGTTTCCAGCAACAAGTTACGTCTGGATGTACATGTATGTTATGTCCTTTAGGGATTTGTCAGAACAGATCAACAGGGGGAAAAGTTGGGGATATGCCTGAATTAATATAATGTAGAATTTTTGACTGTACCTCATTGAAACAAATCAGACTAGAATTCATGCTGGGATCATTTTCTAATTGTGCCAAGGAGGACCCATGCACATGTAGGAATATTTCTTGGGCAGGTCCTGAGGAATCGTGGAAAAAGTTCTGGCCGGACTGATCCATATGGAATGACTTCCTGGCTGTTGCTTCTACAAGGAGAAAACAGTCATTAGCATGCCAGCTTAGCTGTACAGACCTATGCATAGCATTCTGAAGTTTTGCACGTCGACAGACTTTGGTGTGGCTGCGGAATTCACTCCAACACTGTGATGGAATTCCTGTTTTAAAATAATGGCGATGATTCCAGATTCATCTGCTCACTAAGAAGAGACTCGTGTCTCTGTGGGAAAGTTGCTGTTGGAAGACAGATGAGAATTATACCCAGTACGAGTATTTGAAGGAATCAGCTTCTACTTTTGTTTAGCATGGAGCTACAGAATTAGAGTGCAGGGAACCTGTGCCAAATGATTTGCAGTTTCTGTTTGACTCATCTGTGTGGGAGGGGGTTGACAGGTTTTTTTGTAAGGTGTGTTGTGTTTCCTTTACTGTGGTCAGTCTTAAGTCCTTGTTTCTTGAAAACAGGAAGTTGATTATTCTAAAGTTGATAAAGGGGGAAAAATGATGGCAAACTACTTACTAATTACAATGACCTGGAGTACTAGTTTACAAAACTTCAAAAGTTAGAGGACGTGGCATTTTGATCGCTGCAGAATATATGTCCCTCAAAGGCAACAGGAGCTTCAGTGTCAAGAATGTCCGAGTTAGTTTGGGAGCATTGACATTTCCTTACACAGTGTCAGAGTTGATGTTTGGAAATCCAGCAGGGTGCCCAATGAAAATACACAGAAAAAATATCAGAGACGGGGTGAAATTATTCAACGTCTGAAAAAGAGTTGGGAGATGAGAGTACGTACTCTTTACTTTGGTTTGCAGTATTCTGCAACCAAGTTGCAACATGGCCTTGTATAAAGGCCCAGAGACTTAGTTTTAACAGGACTGAACACCTAGATAGCTCAAGTATCGTGTATTGATGTGCCACTTCACAAGAACTGACTGTCTTTGTGTCAGTTTAGGAATCCCAAATCAGACCTGAAGTGTAAAGATGCAACCAAAGTTCCTGTTGTATTTTTGTTACCTTTCTTTTAATATCTCTCTCTCTCTTGGTGGATTTTTTTGTTTATCCACCAAACCAAGCCTGGCATTCAACATACGGAGTCAGTATTCTGGTCAGATATTGTCAAGCAGCATTCACTAAGAAATGTCTCAAATTTCTCCCTTCTCTATAAAGCTGATGATTAGGACCTACATGTATTTCTTGATCACCAATGAAGTATCACATTATCTGATCAAGAAAAACAGCCTCAAAATATTGACAAATTCGTATTGCCTCTGCACCAGTACCTAAAGTATTGTAGGTGTACATACTCTAATTTTTTTAAAGTGGTATCTGTGTGCCATGGTGGTGAAACTTTGATTTTTCAGTTCATGAGAGAGACAAAAATAAAGAGTACAGAGATGATGGTGCTAATTTATTCTGTTAAATGTTTACACAGGGAAACTGTAGACAGTGTTCTTGTATGAATAGTAGTGTACTTGTATAGGGCACGGCACTTTTCCAAAATGCCTTTCGCACTGGACAGCTGAGGGGAAATTTGTGTTGATTAGCTCAGTAGAAAAAGTTTGTGTCACATATTGCCGAAGCTACATGTAGATTTTTGTTGAATGCTTGAAAGTCTTGAACAGGTACATGGAACATTTCAGTTGGGTAAGGATGATTTGGGCAATGGTGTATCCAGACATAAAAAATGTAAAGGTTAACAGGTTGTTCAAGCAAAGTGAAGGTCCTTTTTCTGATTCACGGGAGAAGATTCAGTTATTATTATTACTTTTTTTTTTGGAGGATGAGGGATCTTTTCCTCACTTCCCCCAGCAGTGGACTGTGTACTTGTGATGTACACAAATACCACAAAGCTATAAAACAGACTTGCGCATATTCAGAGGAGGGCAAGAAAGCTGTTGACCCAACTTAACCTAACCACTCAGCATTTCTTTGCAGGGCCGGAGATGTGCTCCAGTCACCCACTTAATGCCAGTCAAAATTCATATGACATCTCACGAATGGAAGTAATGGGAGAAACGGTGATGAACGACTGCCTTCGTCACAGCTTCTGTTGATAGCATGTGACTTGAAAGTGGATTCGCTCGTGACTTATATTGTGACATGGTGATGAGATGACTTGAATCCCACACCAAATTTTCTGAGCTAAAATGCTCTGCAGAATGTGCCAAAAAGAACTGTGGAATTAGCAATTAGGCCCACTTTGAGCAATGTGAGTTTCATAACAGTTACTTCTAAGAACCTGCAGTATCGTCGTTCACAGTTTGACATGATTTTGAGTCTTAGTTCTTCCATATCCAAAGTGCCCTCTGTTACCAAGGATAATTAGACTGTATTTTAGTAACTATACAACCTTCACAACAGTGGCATCTTCTGACCTCTCAGCCCTAAACAAAGATAACATGGTCCTGCATTGTACAGTAGATTAAAATTGGCAAAAATCTGACCTGGAAGGATGTCTTTCTGAAGATGGGAAAAGTACATGTATCTTTTTTAAGGACAAAAGGCGAGGGTAGGTAATTTTTGGCTCTGAAGTTTCCAATCCAAGCACAGGCAGTTTCTTTAGCCATACCAGCTTGAATGAGAAATATGTAGTGTGCATCTTTAATGGAAAGATTTGCGGGTGGATTGCATGCCTAATGAGCCTTTTGTGGTACTGCATAGTGTGTAGCAGGCCAAGTCTACGTCTGAAGTGGATTACTTTTGAAACTAGACACGGCTTTTATCTTTGCCATTTGCATTGCTGCGACACTAAGCCACAGCTTTAGGCAAAAATTGCCACCAGAGCCTGTGTCTTTGCCTCATTTTTTAATATCTGCATGCAGTACATGTACATGTATGTCGAATTTCTGTTGTACATTTTCATTGAGCCAGTGGCAGTGGCTTGCAGGCTGAAAGGATAAATCGTACTGTAACTGTACATGTAGTTACTTGTGAGTAGGTTGCCTAGACTCCACAAAACTTACAACTTCATGGAACTATGAATCAGCGTATCAAGTGTAGCTTACGTCAACAACGTACTTAAACGTGGAAATTCATCCTCATGACATTTTTATACAGTACCTGTACATGTTCACTTCCCATTTTTTTGAATACATGCGGTGCCCAGTTGAAGTACTAAAATGTAAAATTTACAGTGTATAAAGCAATATGTAAATTATGGAAAAACAGGCACATTTTTATGAAGAAATCTGTCGAAAATACCAAAAATATAAATATGAATATTTGTAGCTTGTAAGTTGTAAGTGTACGCCATTTGCAGAACTATTGTACAAAGGGATATCTTTATTGTAGCAGAGATAGTCATTGATGTAGTCAACGGTAGCACATATGCTGTGGGGCTTGTGCTATTGGTTTGTATTGTAGTACTCTTGCCGTATGATAACGTGTAATGATCCTGAATGTGTGCTGGAGTTTTTGGGGTGTAGATGGAGGTACTTTCCAACCAATGCTCAAAGTAGTAAAAATTTGGACCTTGCCAGATGTGAGGTTGACCATGTCAACTTCGCAAGTCACTATTTGTTTGACCAGTCTTGTCAAAAGGTTAGGTAGTGAGCTTCTTGTTTAATAGACCGAATCCGCCTGCTAAGTTACGTAACCTACAGTGGGCATCAAACAACAATAAACATGGTGTCCTCCCATAGCCAAGTTTTAAGCCGATTTTTGATATGAATGTAGTACTTGGAAGTCACTGATCAGTAGTCTCTAAACTGCACCAACCATTGGCTTTATTTTTGTTTGATACTCACTGTCCCGGTACGTCATGTGACTTATCATGCCCAGTTGGTCTATTATAGTTGATTGCCTGCAAGGTGATTGGCAAGTTTGCCGATTATTTGCTTTTTATGTTATGCTATTTTTATGTTGAAACAGACAACTCAGATACACAGGGAATTGCATGTGATTTGGTAGCAATTTGTTTCCTACATCTACTAAATGTTCGGTTCAGAGACCAAATGAAGTCCAGGCATTAGGGTTTCAGAGAGAGAATTACCTCTTGAAAAGTACTATTTCATGGTTTACAGTTATGAGTACTAACCTTACTGATTTGTGTTTTGTCACAAACATATTCCTGGCGTATGAATTGGTGGAACATCTTGGTTTTACCCCAGCAGTGTAATATTTGGGGGCTTGCTTGGAAAGTGGCAAATTGCTTTCCAAAGTTGCCACTTTTCCTTTGAAAAGGCTTGGTTGAAAGGAAGATCCTTCCTTGAAAACTCCAGTTGAAATTTTGGTATCCTTCATTGAACACTACTCTTTCCAAGAAATTTTTGGAATTCAACCCACTTTATGGCGTACATGTACTTAATTTTGTACAAAGGCATTCTGTTAAAAGCACTCTGTTTGAGTATCGAGGTTAGTTGTCTTTATGATGGTTTCAGGTCAACAATTCCATTTTGTTATTTGAAACAAACGATACCAATTTCAATTTTTTTTAACGTGTTCCTGAAAATTAACTTGCATGTAAGCCTCTTTTTGAATATCATTTTTCCCCAACCTGGTTTCTTCATTTTAGATTCAAAACTGAACGTGCACGTAATGAATTGACTACTTGAATAAATCTGTCACAAACAGAAACATACATGCATTTCTCATGTGACGGTGGTTCTGTATCTCTGAAAGACATCACTTTTTAGGTAACTCGTCCAATTTGAAGAATTCCAGAGCAGTGACTGCTTGGAGGTCTGTAACTACAGTTCATAAAGTTTCTAACATGATTTTTGGGGAAGTGCTGCCTTGCCAAGGCAATACATCAGTTAATGCTACAGTTTACAAGAACACCGTCTAACAAATTACACCAACCAATCTGTGTTTTTACATTAAATATAGAAAAATGTTACTCTTCAAATGATAGTGCAAGTAATATATAACCATTTGCATTTATAAATGTAAAGCTACCTCTCTTTGAAAAAAAAAATCCATGAGGAACCAGATTACAAAATATTACTGACAAGTACAATTGTTAATATTTGTCAAAAAATACAATACAAACATAACAATATCATGAAGTATGATAAATACAGAATTCAACAATTGCAACTTCACATTCTTTGGGATACATGAACATCTATAATTTCTAAAGAACCAATTGGAAGTTTTTAATTGGTGAGACAGTGATTTACCTGCATAGAAACGCACAAGATGTTAAAGGGAAAAAACACACACAATACATGTGCATTTACTCAATGTATGTATCAATCAGAATTTCTGTAGTGCATAACGTTAATCACTTTACTTAAAACAAAGGAAGTTCAGTTACTTTTGATACAGACCAAACCTAGCACAGAATGGCTGTAAGTTCTGGGTGGGGCCAAGTTGGCCTACAGGTATGTTAAACAAATCGGTTTGATTTGAACACACTGTTTTTCATAGCAACACATGTACATGTACGTATCCAGGATCAAAACCTGCTTGAGTCGACAGGGTGGTAACTCAAAGACACTAAAGTACTGGCAGATCTGCCACCTTGGGAATAATCTGCATGTACCAACTCGCCTAATGGCAGAAACACTGAAACATTTCTTTGTGTGCCCGGCATGATCTCGGCAGAAAAACTGTTCCCGGCAAAAGGATGTAAGAAACACTTTCTCTTTATAATTTACAACAAAATCAACATGGGCTGTCCAAAAAGCGACCTCTGAACAACTTATTAAAGAACTTGGGAATTTGTTTTAAACATTTTGCACAGAATTCGTTATATTTCATTAAAATAAAACAGTTGTATACATAACGTCCTTTTGCCAGAAAAGTTTTTGGCAGTAATCATGCTTCCCAACAAAAGGGCGTAAGCGCTTACATCCTTCCAGGCACACAACAATTTGTTTTTGAACTGTAAGCTGGCCATCCTGGGACTACAGAGATCATCCACTCAGACTGGTGCTTCCAAATAATACCCAATGAAAGCTAGCTTCCAATGTTTGTGATGCAACACAATTTGACACAGCCCAAGACAAAAGGTGATATAACTCAAATGCATCATCAATTTTTACAAGTTACGCTGTCTTACATGTCAAGTGTACACACAATAAGTGTATAATACAGCAGGCTTGTGGACTGTATACCAGGTATCCACCTTGGTAATGACACATGGCCGAGTAACGTTTAAGTGGTGGTGTTTTTTTTAAGTATAATACTTTTTTTCCCCAGGATGTACACGTTGCACTTTCAATGGTTCCAGTCTTTCTTTTTGCAACCCGTCTACTTCCCACATTTTGCGTGACTAAGCCACAAAGCAATGAAACCGAATTAGACGTGATTAGAAAAAAAGGTGATTGAAATACGGACACTTGTAATACGAGAAGCACTCCGTTTGTAGAAAGGTCAAAATCGTGTTTGATATCCCGCGCTTCAGGAAATTAATGTTTTCAATCATTCCAAACCAGGTAACAAAGGTTGCAGTGGGAGGCACTAGCTGAAATGGTCAGAACACGCATAGGCATTCTTAAGACACATTTTCTAATAGAACCACAACACTCGTCAGTGCAATTTGCTTGTACATGTACCGAGTAAGCATGAAACCAGAGAACATGGTATGGCACTCTCACTGGCCTGTCAAGAGGACTGCCGTTGCAGATAATTGTTGGATCTCATAAATAACTCAGTGGTAAAATGGAAAGGGATCATCAAAAAAGGCTACAAAACAGGTTTCCGGGAAGTGCCTGAATTTCATTTAGCTTTTGTGACAATAAAAACACAGGTGGGATGAAGTACATGTATCTGTTTATAAAAATGATCAAATCCTGAACCCGTTGAACCTTCCGTGCTTGGTTTGACAATACGATTTCTGCTGGGGAAAAACCGTCTTAAAAAAAAATATGACTACTCGCACCTCACAAAATATACTGGGCCAGCCAGGGTCTCCATTCAAGCAATTTCAATTCAGGGAAGCGAAAACTTGGCCAAATTCCACTCATACCTGTTTACTTCTATTGGTACATGTATCATACGTGTCTTTCCACTGTATTACATAAATAAAGTCACTCCCCAAACGCCTGCGAACATCCTTACAAAATTACAAAAGAGCAATGCAATTACAAAAATATAAATTAGATATTCAACACTTTCAAAACAGCATGCAGGCCACTTCTTTTTCTGTGGGCATGTTGGTCTGACATTTGTGACGAAAGACTCATTATTGTTAATAGCCAGAGTGACTAACTTTTTCCTCTCGTTCTGATACTTAAAATTCAGCATCAGTGTATCTTTAGAGGCTGTGGAAAAAGGAAACATTTCTCTCCAAATTTTGTTTTAAAACTTGTTTTTTTAAATTTTGTTATTTTTAGACCTGTTGTTTGAATTTTGTTATTCTAAAACTTATTAGCTAAAAACTGTGTGCCTAAAAAAATTAGGGCATTTGAAAAATCCACAAAATTGTCGTTTGGAGAAATATTTCAAACAGCAATTTTCTAAAATCAAGCTTCCCTGGCCTAAAATTATGCCTAAACTTCTTTGAGACTTGGTGCAATTAAAATTACACTCTAATCATTTTCCAATATTGAATTCCAAATGCCAAAGTAAAGCAAATCTGTTGAAGTCCGCAATTTTGGTATTGTGAACTTCACCTACATGTATACCTTTACCAAATTACCTTTAATGTCCGTAATGATTTGGATTTCCACCCGAGGCACAATGTATGTTTGACCTTGCAGGGCTCATACCAAATAAAAATTAATAAAGTTGACTGGTTTGATTTATATGTTTTAGACAAACAAGTGACATGAATTTTCTGCTGTTGGCAAGCAGAAGTGCATTTTCCCCCCTTTAATTACGAATTGAGACACCATTCTAACAAATTCTAACAATGTCTAAGAAGAATTTGTTAACTATTTCTGGTACTGAAACCAAAGATATACTAATGAAACCAACAGCCTAGGTAAACGAAAACAACAATAATGATGTTGCTTCAGTGTTCATTGTTAGTATTTACATGTATCAATTTCAAAATACCGGTAGCTTGCATACATGATGTGAATTTAAAAAAAAACCGAAGAAACAGCTACTTCTGTGTAGCCACTCAAGACTTCCCAAGCTTGTCATGGCCACAAATGGAAAAATCACTGCTATCAATTCATCAGCTTTAAACATGTACAGTTAAAAAAACTCTTTGAGGTAATGCCCTCGTAGTGAAACTGACTTGAGTATAATGAAAAAAATGGCAAAGTGCACACTTAAAGAACTTGAAAAGTTACCTATCTAAGACGTGAAGAGACAAAAAGCACTGCTCCAGTATGTTTAGAAGCTACAAGAAGCCTGCCACAGAATACATCCATAAGGGAGCATATTCTAAAGGATTCTCCCCTTCCCCAAAGAACTTGGCTCTGTCACGTTCAATATTTTTTAGCTTGGTATGACTGTAAAGACACTAATTATCATTATAAATGTCAAGTTTGAACTCAATCAGACATATAGTTTTGCTGTTATGGTCACTGGAAGTTCAAGGCTACACATGTGCAGCCCATGTGCATTGAGCACTGTAGTGGAAAAGTATACATTTTTGGCTGACCTGTCTCAGAAACATGCACACCGCACAAGAACAGCATGTTCTATTTTCACAAAACTGGTGTCATAAAATGATTACATATAGTTACTCAAAAACTCCTGAAGGCTCAGCTCCTGAAAAAATGCAATGTGGCGAAATCGGACAAAATGTTGACGGGGCAGAATCTGTGCCCCCTCCCTGGCTCTTTTGGGGTTAAGAAGTCTGCACTGGTTCACAGGAAGTCATTGGTTCATATCCTACTCCAATTTGCAATTTGTTTTCTTGGACCACACTTCAAAGTGACCCGGAAGAAAAATTTTGTCTGTAGGAGGCTTTGGTAGTCAAAGGAAGTGGATTTTGTACTACTGATGTATATACTTGCATCATGTTCTGGATAACAGCCAAAAAGACTTCAGCCTGGTTTGTGGAATGGAGGGTCACATTTGTATGAATCGTGAATGATGTGTTCTTCATTTGGGGACCTTGCACTACAGCACTTTCACACAGCAAACCTGAGTGATTATCATCAATACTGAACCAGCCAGGTCTCTCAAGTGATTATTCGCTTTTCAAGCAGGCTACTGAATTGAATTTGGCCTCGTGCTGAGAATTTGACTGGCATGCGATAACTAAGGCTACATCAAACTGAGCTTGAGGCTGTGTCGGAGACTGGCACTGCTATTTTCTGCAGTGCAGTGATGAAAAAAGAACTGAAGCCACAGCCATAGGATACCCTATTTGGACATGGCCTTAAACATGTGCTACAAGTGGTTGCATTCATGCTGGGTGTCCTGATGCTGGATTTGGGGCTAAAGTGAAATGTCTACCAAATGATAAAGATGGGTCATTCAACTCCACCCATGACATATCCCCACTGTCCTAGCTCTCCATTCTTCTGCGAGAGTGGAGCAGTTGAGGACCTCACAGGAGGAAATTACATGTAAGTAGGTTAATACACTCAAAAGCACACAGTTCGCAGGTAATGAATCTCATCCATGAACGGCGCAATCCTCATATCCTATCCTTTACTAAATGTCACAAGGCACATCATAATAAAATAACCGACAATAACTGCATCCTTAAAAAGATTTAAATCCTTAAAAAAGATTTTCAGCACTACAGTCCCAAAAATCAGGTGTGGGGGTCTCTCCTTGTGGAAACACAAATATTACAATCATAGATTTCTTAGTTTTTTGTCCGCTGTGGAAGAAGACGACCAAAATCTTGAGCTGGGAATCTGTCAAGGAGGCACTTCATTGCGGAAGATCACACACCAAATGTTGTCAGGAGACTAAACAAAATTCAATCTTAAATTCAATCTTAAATTTAATGAAACATTTCACCTGCCACTCGAGCCTTTTAAACAGAAAAGAAAACCAAAAATCAACCACTTCTGATAGATGATCAGGAGCATTCCATGACGGTCCTTGGACACTTCAAAGGAAGCTAGGTAGACAGTTTACTTGGCAGTTTCTTCATGTCATTCTCCTTCTTGCAGCCTGCGCTGCTCCCTCAGTAATCCTTTCAGCTGCTCTATCTCCTTGTCTTTGGCCTGATATATAAAACAAAGAAAGAAATCAAATGAGAACTTTTTTTCAAATGGACCATTAGAAACCGATGATTACAATGGTGTACCAATTAAACCATGGACCAGAATTAGAAACATGTGCGTCATGTGCGTAGGTAGTGCGTAGGTAGTACAAACACACACACAATGACTGCCTTTTTGACCCACAGGCTGTTGTAGCTTGTCAAACTGCAAGCGCAAATTACGTTCAAGTATCTGTGACATGTCCATGTACGTGAGTGCGATTTCACTGCTACAATGATATTACACACATCTGTCTGCGATTATCAACAAATTTAGTAAAAAGCATCCAGCATGCACCATCCAAACTATAGTCTGGGGAGCAGGGTACATATACTTGTGCCTCCAAGTACACCATTTCGCTACAATTATTTCAAAATTCCTTTTCAGGAAAAATGGATAAAATTGAGAGTAGATGATTAGGTTTTCTGAAATGGACATGGTGGTGATTGTGAAAGTGGCTGATGTGAGACTTTCCACGCATTAGTTTTGTAGAATGTTGAAGGATGACATTTCTCGAACCCTTTGGCTCCTGAGTTGGTGGACCCCTGCAGTAAATTCTATACTGTTTGTCCAATAAAAGAACCAATTTCAGCCTATAGGTTTCCAATTTTCATGCACATGTGGTTTTGACACTCATGTCAAATTTCAGATATGTGAGCACAGACACGATTTGATCTCATGCAGAAGCTTCAATGACACTGCTGTTTGGTTGCAAAATAGCCAGATTTTTCATGGGACTATGCCCTGACGTTTAAATCCACTGAGAGACAATAATCCTGTCACACAGCACAGGCAGGTCTCTTTTCAATAATCCAAAAATGCTACTCTTTAATTTTCATTGAGAATAAAATTTAAAACGAACACGGTCGATGTGGATCATGGCACTATGAAAAGTAATATTTTCATTCTTCTACGCTTGCTTAATTTGCAGCAAGTATGAAGTACGTGTATTCTTCACCAGAATCAGAGTGAGTTGTTTATGTGTACTATGTGTAGATTACCAGAATATGAAGCCTTCACTGGGATGGCAGCATGCTTACCCACAGGCTGTACATACACGTTCAATGCTTTTTCCACCTATAGGGGTATTGTGACTAATTACCACTATTGAACAATGCAGGTGACATTTATAATTTTGCGGAGCTAATGCAATAATAACATTACCTCAGACTAGTCTAAGCAAGAGACTAACAGGTGAGATTGCCACCTGTACATGCACATTCCCTGGGGGAAAATGGATGAAGGAACTGGACAGAACTATGAGGCTTCTCTTGCATAAAGGATGGTAACTACATTAAGTTTTACAAAATCACAAATACACAATGAGTGTCACTTTCAGTCTTGCGTTGGGAAAAAAGTCATGTCTACAAGTACAATTTCTCTTTGCACGGCAAGCAGAAAAAACACAAGGAAAGCCAAACAAGCGTCGTGAAATCAGGCTAACAGTATGGCAGGGACAATAGCAATGGAACTGATTTGGTTGAAATGAGCATGTACATGTACCAGACCTTAAGATTTATTCTATACATTTACAACAGAGAGGGTTTGAAACGTGGCAATTTGCAAGCTTGACAACACAAAGGCAGTGACAAAAATGGGCATAACAGAAAAAAGGTTTCATTGCAGTGTAATCAGTGTAATGTATGATGAGGGGGAGAGAATTAACCATATACACACTTCAGAAGCAAAGCTGGGGTTATTCACACTGACATTACAGCAAAGTATGGCCTCCAGCCTTCACAACCAGATTTAAATTTACAGCAGATTCTGTAGTTTCTTTAGAACAGCTTTCACAAAACAGATTTCTTTCTGTTAACAATGAAAGTGAAAATTCCACTACGTATCACTGAAAACTACAACAAAGCACAGTGAAACTGGCCACATGAAAGCAGTGACAATTTGAAATGACAAGATTGGGAAGCAAGTTGTAAATCCTTCAAGCAGTGCCAGACAGGTTAGACTAAGAAGTAAAACAAGGATACATGAGCAAGGTGATGATAACCACAACAACAAGGCACACACTGGGGTTTTAATGGAAGGGGAGATGGGATGCTCAGAACACCGCAGATGTTGAATACGACTGAGACTACAAGGGGACTGCCCCCCCCCCCAAAAAAAACCCCAAATACCCAAAGCAAAAAACACCAGCACTCGAGTTTCCCCACCTGGAGTTGTCTCTGGAATAGCTGAGCGTCTAGCTGCAGTTCTTGCCTCAGCTCTGTTAAGATAGCCTGTCTCATCTAGCATGGGGGAGGGGGGGAAGGTACAGATGAATGTCCATGGGGACAGGGAGTTGAGAAAAACAGAACACAGGGAGGGGGGGAAGAAAAACACGCATGTAATGTCTATGAACTACTTTTTGGGGGGTGGTAAATCTTTTCTACAACAGCAGAATAGCAAAATCGCAGGTTTTGGTTCGGATGCAGTTTACCTTGGTTACTATTTGGGATACGGCATCTATTTGGGGAAATATGAACAAAAAGCCTGTTCTGATCATATCTGTTGATGATGAACTACAGACCTCTATTGTGGGACAGCCATCTTGCTTTTCCACCATTCAAAGCAAAGTAACCAATCTGAGAGTTGGAAGGGAAAACAGTCTTTTCCCTTTCATCAATACATGTATGTGAAGTTGTATAACTATTGCCAACGGGTCTACAGGGAACAAGACAAACATGGCAGCATCGTGATAAAGGTCTATTTTCCATGAATTGTGTATCATCTGTGTTTCCTTTTCACAACAAATTCACTGAACTTACTGGAGTAATATCCCAACACTGCCTCACTCATTATGACAGTATACTCTATGTATTTCATTTTCAGAAAATGGCATTTCACAAAGATTTTCCCACTCTTTCGGTAGAGCACTTTCCTGTCCATTTCTTGCAGTAGGTTCAATTCAGATGTTCAATCAAACTTGCAAGGATGATAAGTTTGGCCTCGACTGGCAAACTTCAAATAATGCCCTGTACAAATTTTTGGGAATATAAAAACTTAAACCCTCAAAGGGTTTAACTTGGGCAAGTCTGATCTGTGACAATTTGCTAAACATTAGTCAATTTTGTCCTGGTGCCCAATGTATGTATATGTTTCATGCATACATGTAGGTTACCAATCAAACTTGATCATAGGTTGACAATTTGTGGCTGATCGAACCTGCCCATTGTATTACAATTAATGCCTCCTATATGGTCGAAGAAAAACCCAGACTAGCAAAGCACATACTGTAGGTGGAGGTAACAGGAATAAGCCAAGCAGAGCAGGATAAGGGGGCCATGCAAAGGATTTGAGGATCTGTCTACAAAGTAAAAATATCACTACCTGTACTCATTCTGTGAAAAATACAGACAGTATGGTGTGTATTTTAACAACAATTATGGTCTTGTGCAGAATTTTGGTTTGACTACAGAACCATTCTTTGGAGTTAGATGAAATACCAAAAGCCAAATGAGTACATGCACCGAACTTACACCAAGAAAAAAAAATTGCAAAAATGGCCTCCCCCAAACCACAGTTAATTAAGGTCCCAAACAGTACATTGTGCCTGTCTGCAAGTAATCAGTGACACTATTGTTTAAAGCACCCTAGCTATGTTAGCCACAAGATTAATAATCCACACAGTAATACCTGCCTATTGTCAGCACAAGGAGATTCACATTAGATGCCATGCATCTTTTACGTGCATCAAATACTACAAACTGCATCATTACAGTAATTTCCATGGACGAGACATTTCTAAGAACCATCCTTGATGTCACAAAGCAATTGCATCACACATGCATGCATTCTAAGCACGGGGCAAAGCAAACAGGTCAGTCTCACATGTATTGCAAAAATTCGCTGTTTGTCTTCACAGGACAGAGGACACTATTTCAAAATGCTGTGTTCCTGTTCTTTGTTTGTGAGACAGAAGTAAACTGCGACACGCTGTTTCCTGAAACATTCCAAATTACGGGTCTCTTCATGTATTTCATATTCAATATTTTGTACTCAAAACAGAATGGTGCAGCTTGCAATGTGAACAAGGTTGACAGTTCTGTCTGAGGTAACTATTAATTACCTGTTCTCTGTTTGTCCTTGAAACAAACACAGAAGTCTCTTTTCATCGGCAAGTTTACACCAAACCCACCAGGGAGATTTAATGGGGATCTGATCACGCAAGGGGGATTGAAGAAGGAATGACAGCAAGTGTAAAGTCAAGTTGACGGGGGGGGGCAGATCGGTCTCTCTGGATCCCCTTTTGGACAGGATCGGGTCTAGCTGTGTCTCATCCCATGATGTTGAGTGTAAACACAAGCGCTGGATCAAACCCTCCAATTTGACACAGCCGTGTCCACTATGTGTGGCACATAAAAATTTGCAGTCTAAATGTCTGTGAAATTACATGTACATGTACTGAGGAATAGATACAGTATGCTATCACTCAGTGGTCACCACAGGGTTCGACCAGTGCATAATAAAAGTAAGTTCATGTTTGGTACTTCGTCCTCAACTGCACCGTGCCATTCTTTCTTGTTAACATGCATAGTAAGGCTACCTCAACAATTCCAACACTCCCAAAACAACATACGCTCTGCCATATGATTCCTAAACAAACAGGGTTATGTTGAGCACCAAATAATCATGGACATTTGGGCGAGATACCAAGAAGAAATAAAAACAAAACTGGATAGCTATCATCTATTTTGATGTGCCACAATGACAGTAGTTACAACGGAAAGTATACGTGTAAATGTTTTACACTGACTGCGCAGGATTGTATAATGACCACAAGTACAGCGTTAGCACATTCTCAGTGACCCTCCTTTTGTTGTAAAGGAGGATGGATGCAGGATCAAATCCAGTGTACACACCAAACAGATTGCAGTTAACCTTCCCATGATTTTATCACCCATACAAGACCTGATCCCCATTGCAGCACTTGAGTATGCAAGAACGCATTATTATCTATGTCAGTCCTTTATTTAATTACTCCATGAGTGTTCTACTTATTCAGTCAGCCGTGCTAATTAAAATGCCAAAGAAAACTTATGACTCAGTTAAATGATGGTGGATATGTGGTCTGGTCTTCTCCCTATCCCCTAACACTCAATTCATCAGCATCTGCTCTGGCAGTCAACAGTTTCTTTTGATCGCTTCACTAGCCCTGCCCATAATATTTCACTGTCTGCTTATTAGAATTGACAAAAGGCAAACATCTTGAACATGATAAGGCCCTCTATTCAGGCAGCAAATTTCAAAAGTCTGAAAGTGAGTGCCCAATTTCCAGGCATCTGGGGGTGTGAAGTGTGACAGGCACTGGGGTCATGTTATTACCGCATCTGTCACAAAGAAGGGCAAAACTGTGAACCCAATTCTAAATTCAATAAAGCTAGCTCTGTACAAAATAAACACAGATAGACTATTATGCAAGAAACCTGTGCCAACATTGTACTGACTTTCATACTTGCAGGCAAGCCTAACTGAAAAAAGGGGAAAAAAAGAATAGAATTTGACACACTGCATTTTTTATTATCAATGTTGTCATTCATTCTTGACGTTGTCAAGCAACCGGGAAGAATTCCTGGGATATCTGATGATAACCCTTGGTGGGGGTATCAAACCCTGCCTAGATACTCCTTGTGTTGCATTACCATGACAAGCTAGTGAGTCCCCATGAAGGGAGAAGATTTTACAAACAGGACAAAAGAAGATCCCAAAGTGCATACTGTACCGTCTGTCATATGGTTGTAACATGACTTGGGTGTGTCCTAATGTTAAATATTGTGGGTGCATTTGAATTGCATTTCAGATCATTTGCAATGTACAGTGCTTTCAAACTTCCCGACTCTACTGATAGGGCAACTACATTGTACTTCATCAGTAGTTATTTTCAACAACTGTTGATATGATGAACAGTATTTTTCCTCCAAATTTCTCCGCGTAAATTTCAAATGCTTTTGTAAATGTACGTAGAGGGTTTCTTCCAAATCTTTGCAAATTATGTACATGTAATCTACCGGGGTACAAAATTTCTATGTTATTATAATACTATTTTGACTTTTAACAGTTCCCTAATTGAATGGAAAAAGGTCACATTTTAAAAGATTTTCCCTTTCCTTCAACTTGAAATTTCAGTGGCACTATTTGAACATTAGGTTTCAACAAGAAAAGAACATCAGACATGTGGATGACAGTCAAACACTCTTTACAACCAGCAGACTTCCAAATAAGTGCAGAGAATCACTCTGCAAAATAGAGACAGCAGGTTTTAGTGCAAGAGCAACAAAAAACCTCACAAAATAAAGGTTTTTGCTTGGGATAAAATTAGACAATGAGGATTCCTCAAGACTATGCACGTTCTGTTGAAACTGCCTTAAGCCAGTGCACATGCAATGTATTCATAATTGGCTCCCCTGAGCATCGAGGAGTAATGGTAAAATGGGGGTTCCCATTTGGGTTCAAGTGTTCAGAAATACATTAGTCCAAAAATGATCTCTGACCCCAACTTATCCCCCCCTCACCTCTTTGACCGCAGAGTTCATCTCCCGTCGGGCCATCTCTCGCTGGTGCTGCAGCTCCAGCCGCACCTCCATCAGCGCTTCCATCATCTCCTGCCTGTCACTGGCTGAGGTGTCCTCTTCCCCCTCCACTTCCCCCTGGTAGGACTCCGCCCACTCTGGGCTGCCCTGTACTACCGACAAGTCGGGGATGGTGGAGGCCTCGGAAAGGGTGGCGTGAGAGTGGGTAGTCTCCAGGTCCAGGAGCATGCGACGGAGGGAACGCTGCTCTTCAAGGAGGTTTACCATCTGCATCAAGGCAACACAAAGGACTGAATATACATGTATATATCCCTGGAATGCCGGATGATTTACATACTTTTTATTAATACAAGAACTTTTTGAGGTGTATCCCCTCAAATATGACACCAAATGTATGGTCAATCAAAGTCACATACCCTCATTCTAAAACGAAAGAAAGAGGGTTCAGGTCACAAAGACAATGGACAAAGGAACCAATAAGAAACAAGAATCAAAACATAAAACTCTGCAATTTTTTGTCGACAAAGACAAGGCATTCCCTGACTCCGACTGGAAATGAGACTAAGCGGCTGGCAGCCTCCTACCTCTTGAATCACCTCCAGGTTGTCCTCAGATGCTGTTGCTAGGCTGTTCTCAAGTCCATCCTGAAACAAGCAGCCAGAGAGACATTTGCACCCAGATAAATCACACAGCTTGACAAGTGTGCATTACAGGCTTGCAAAAAAAATGATACAGCGTATGTTGCAAAGTTCCTTTGAATGAAAACAGGTATCAGCGTAGCTTTCCTAGTACACTGTAACCTATGCCTTGTACATGTACATGTGCAAATGTCAATATATGTAGACATATATTTTGAAACAATTTTGGATTTTCATAATAGTTCCTGAACATGTGCATACTCAATAAAGGATGAGATTCCCCATGAATACTTCAATAATTATATCAAAGCTTGGATAGAAGTGGGAAACGGAAGTCATTCACTACTTTAACTTTATCTTACAAAATGGTCAACTGCAACAAGAAAACACTTATAAAATCGCAGCTTTGTTTCCCTTGGCTCTGGGAATAATTTCAATCTTACCTGAGACCCTATACAATATGTAAAACTACATGTACATGTACATGTAGCCAAACTCAATTTTACCATGCGTACTCCGTATGGGTCCAAGGAGTGGCTTTTAACGTCCTTCCCCCAGGCTCTGTGATTAATGCATGCTGACAGCCACTTCCGTGTAATAAGGCGGCGATTTCAAATAATACACTTTACTCGGACTCATTACTACGAGATCAAATCGATCACTGCCCCCACTGCAGCGTGCAAATTGTACATAGAATGGAGACAGAACCTTCTACTTTCTGTTGGGTTCTTTTTAAAACAAAATCCTGCAGGTCAAGGGCTACAATTCTTGTGGCCAACATACTGAGATTTGTGTACATATACAAGGTGTCCCTACCAAAAATGCAAATCAAAAGTACTATTTACTTTCTCCCAAAATAATCTGTCCAAAAAAATGTATTCTTTTCATATCAGACTGAAGCTTAGAATACAAATGTTTAAAACCTGAAGACTTCATTTAAATCTGATGAGGCTCTGCGAAGATAATCTTGATTATGTAAGGTAAAAGCGTTTGGTTCTGTTTTTGAAATACCAAAGCAACCAGAATACTTTATCTATGCCATTTAACACCCTTCAACACATGAGTTCTTTGAAAGGGTTAATGAGGATACTGAATTGAAAAGGGTTTTATTGAGCTATGGTAAAACCTTGGTAATTCCATTAACAAATAAACAGGATCCTGAAATGATTTAAAGTGGCTACAGTTACTAAGTAAAAAAAGTTGGCACCTTGTTGTAAGTTGACTTGAGTTTATTGGGCAAGTTAAACTGAAGTGGTTTCTCTAAAAGGAAAAACTCATTAACCTCTAAAACTTCGAACTCTGAAACTCCACCAAATTAGGTTTTAACCCTCCGTCTGTTTTAACCGTCAAAAACAGTCAAAAATGCCTTCCACTTGATTTCCCCCAGTACACAGACACATATGGGAAATTTGACTGATTTTGACTGATATGACAACTGTGTCAAGAATGTATCTTTGCATAGGAGGGTTAAATGGCTACAGTGCTGGCTCCTGGTAACCACAATCTGGGCAAGCAGGTTCTTACCGGGGAGTTGACCCTAGCGACGGCCACCGTCATCCGCTGCGACAGACGGCCCTCCATGATCTCTACCTCCTCCAGGACCTGACGGCGCAGACTGCGCACGGAGTCCAGCTCTGCCCTCTCCCATTCCGTCATCGCCCCAACAAACTCTGTCTCCCCATCTTCGTCAAGGTGGCGGGCATACAGCCGCTCTGCCAGGCTCTCTAATTCACACAGGTCCTGCTTGTACTTGAATAATGCCCTCTGGAGGAGCTTCATGTCATGAAGGTCATCCTACAAAAGACCCCAATGACTCATGTGATACAACAGGGATGATCCTCAGTAAAAAAAATTACCCAGTGTTAAATCTTGTTAAAAAAAAAGCCAACTATAACATTTCTTTAAAGTTAAAGAACTGACATACATTTGCAAGGACTGAATGATGACTAACAGGAAGAACAATCACTCTCAAGCATACATGTATATTTGAAAGTAATCTGTGTGGCAATGTATATGTACAATGTATTTCCAACTGACCAGAGTGGCAACAGAGTCTACACTGTCCCAATACAAACAGTTCACAGAAGTGATATTTCAATGTCCTCTTTTGAATTAATTTTCATGTTATGCATTTCAGATTCTGGCCAAACGCACTTGCTTGAACAAAACTTTGTGTAGAAAGACAAAAAAAATTGACCGTCAACAATATGAGAAAATCTGCTCAGAAACAGTTTCCCTACCTCTGGTTTGATTCTGGTTATACTTTCTGTTGAATTTTGCGACTTTTTATTACAAGTTTCTTTAGGACTCTCAGTGTCCAGATCCAGCTCAAAAGAAGTCCGATATCGATGGGGGGCTGACTCAGCTTTGGAACAGTTGCATAGCTTTTCGGTATCCAAAACATTGTCTTCATTTGCAGCAATGCTACTGGGAACCACTGGAACATCACCGACTGACCGCCTCGGTGACAAATAAAGATATACAGAGGATTCAACAAGCTTGGTCGGCAGAGAAGTTCTGTGCATATCAGTGGGTTGCACTGGGCACAAAGTCTTTGGAATGACGGTGGTGTTGACAATATCTTCTTTATCACCTACTGAGTGTGAACTCAGATATGCTCCGGAGTGTTTATGGAATGGTTGATCAGCTACGGATGAAAAAACTTCTACAGTTGTAACAAATTGGTCCAATGGCTCAGACGCTGAGTGAGCAGCTTGATAGGACTCAGAGGTAGCTTCTGATTGGGACACCACAACCTCCTCATGGAGCAGGGCCTGTTCCTCTTGGATCTTTGGTCTTGCATGGGATCTCGGTGGGGAGACTCCTTCCAGGAGCCTTCCCTGCTCCTGCAGAAGACTCTCGACATGCTCCAAGTACAGCATCTCCTCCTCCAAGTCCCCTACATCCCCTACACTGTCCACATTGGCCACCATGCTCACTGGGGTATCCGTATCGCTCATAGTGTCCGTGAGAATTGGCTCCTCCAACCTTGCATTGGGAGACAAGTTGGCCGGAATCTGATTGTCTGTTGTCTCTGAGACCTTGTCTGCATCTGCACAATGGCCGGAGGAATTCTGCTTGGGCACAGCATGCTGGCTGTCAGTAACACTCGAGTGTCTTGAATGCACCGGAGTTTTCTCCTCATCCAGACAAGGTAGTGTGGGAATCATGATGATCTGGCTTGACTTCCGCTTAAGGAGCTTTGGACTGGATCTACAACTACAGATCTCTTCTGCAACTCCATTTTCAGCCACTGACACTGATGACGGTGCCTTAGAATCCTCTGGGGAATTAAAAACAACAGTAAGATTCTGGTTCTCTGCTTCATCAGTTATGGAATTGGAAACTTCATTAGAATGGCCAAGGATCGCCTCCACAGACTCCATTAAGCTTGGAACATGAATGTCATCCAGAGGGAAGTAGTCAAAATCCACAGATTTCATCTTGGACAAGGTGGGTCTCTTTTTGATTGCATTTCCAGCCTCTTGGTCTTCGATGAATTTCTTTGCCTCCGTGGCCTGCTTGATGTTCTCCTGCAGTGTGGTCAGGATCTCTACCACCGTTTTGGGGCCTGGGGCAACCTCCTGTTTCTCAGAGGTAGTGGGATAGGTTCCAGACCGCTGCCGGGGGACAGGAACAGTCTTGATCGGAAGTGGGGGGCCTTCTCCGTCAAATGGTGAGTCCTCCAGACTGGAAATGCTTATCCCACTGAAAGTGCTGCCCATCCGATCATAGCTGCTCCTAGACTCCCGAAACGACTTCCGTGAACGTGCAATCCTCTCCGCGCTGGATATAACTGATGACTGCTCAGACATCGAATTCTTGTCCTCCTCGAAAGATGACTTGGCAGTTTGTCCTGAGATAGCATCTCCAGTTTCCTGAGCACCCTCTTCCCACTCAAAGCTTTCCAGCACTCCAAAGTCATCAAAGCTGGTCTGGATGAGTTTGTTGCCCATTTCCGGCCCACTGCCATTCCTTTCCTTGTTGTCTTGCTGAGGAGAACCACTGCAATCGTCAATTCGGGTTGAAGTGGGGGTAATTGTTGAGTCCATGACTTCATCGGCAAAGCCACTACTGTCAGACTGAGCACTGTCAGTGCGAACAAGAGGCTCTACAAACAAAACGAACAAAAAAATACATGTATGTGCATAATAAACAGCTTCATTTACCATTTTGAAAGATCTGCCCTCAACTAATCACTGGCTGAGCTGGTGATAAATCAGTTCACAGTTCTGTGTTCAAATCAACTAAGGTGTGCCAGAGTTTTCACAGGCTACTCCAAATCATCACAAACGCTGCATGGCTTAAGTTACTCTGTTCCCGGTAGAGTAGAATTTCACTAAAGAGCAAATCTATTTGGCTTGACTGATGAAACCTGTACATTACTGTTAAAGGGAAAGTGTCTTGATACAGGAGAATCATACCTGCATGTGTATCTTGCTTATCTACACATCCACCGTACATGTACCACCACTTTTGCAATTTGTAGATTTGATAAATAGATCTATTGTCTGGTATTTGATAAAAAAAGAAGGGTCGTTTGTGGAAATTTTAGCTGGAGTTCATTTCTCATTTCAGTTTATTTTAGAGACAAACAACACTCCACCTGCTGATAAAATACAGCAAAAAAGGAGTGAAGCTTGATTACCAACAAAACAGTAACTCAACACATGCTACCCTGTAGTAGTCTCTGGCAGGAACACAGATCTTTTTAGAGAAAAGGCTACTTTGTCCATAAATTGGATGACTTTCTCAAGTTGCTTCCTCATGCCAGTACATTCTAACAGTTTTGGTATTATGACTTTTACAACTTACCCATACTATTGCCTAGTATTACCATCTGTACACATTTACAATTGGTTGTCTCAGTCCTGTTCAAGTACATGTTAAATGTAGACCAGTAGTGTTTCTTAGACTTTAACCTCTTCCAAGGGGTGAGACTTCCACTGAATTGTGTTTTATGGCTTATGCATAACCAAAGAGAGCTCCTAATCTAGGAGAAAAATTAAGCATCTTACAAGAGCTAAAGCTTATCAAGGTACTTCAGCCTTACATGTACCCAAATACTCCTGCATGGTATACATGTATGTATAAAAACAACTTTCAGTTTTATGAGAAATTCCAGACAAAAGACTGTACTTTCTCCACATCTCGACAAAGATAAATAGTCTTGTCTCTTCTCCCACCAATAAATGCCAAATGAATATTTTTACCAAAGCAACGTCTGGCCAACGTAGACCCCTGGCTTTGCACCACAAAGTATAGTGCACAGACACGATTCATGGATCAACCTAATAGCCAACAGTGCCAAATGAGCCGGGGAGGATAAAGAGCTAACAAATTGATTCGGCATGCTACTAACTGAGGCAGCAAAATGTCGGGGGGGGGGAGGAAAAAAGGGAAGGCAGGGTTTGGAATCATGGCCAGATCACGTACATGTACACTGGTTGTCCAGCACACCGCGTCGTGATTTAATCATCTTTGTGATGGATGGTTGGAAACTGTTGGGCAGGCGAAACAAGAAATAAGGAGCTCTTGTCTCTCTCAGGACAGCTCCCTTGCTGTGCAGCCATACAAATTAAATGTCAGCATATCCCACAGTGATACCTAAGACATGTTCTTCATCCACCTGCATTTTTTGTTGCTTGCCGGCCGAAAACAACTCTTGCTCCCCACAAATTCCCCCCCCCCTTCCCTTTTCCAAGTCAGTACCTGCGGGCATATTTCACACTCAGATGATTTACAACAATTTCTTTTTACCTCTTTTCTCTGCCTCCTTTTGTGCATGCTTTTTCAGACATTCAGGAAATACAGGTACAAAGCCACAATGTTGTTAACTTAATTCAGGTGAGAGTGAAATAGCAACGACTACGCTGACACTTCAGAATGGATGCATAAAGAATATACAAAATTGGTCACACGCTCACATTTCTCATAAATGAGATACATGTGCATGTACCAGTACAGTGTATTTGATAAATTGAGATACGTACATGTATATGCTTGCATGACAGTATAACTTACAAATGCAATAATACCTACAATGTATACAATGCAACATACGACAACCAGTGAGATTTGGTGATATTTCTTGAATATATATGATAATGGAGGTTAGCAACATTTCTATGAAACAAAATGCAATCAGTTCACTTTAAGGTGAAACTACATGTACCTTGAATTGAAAGAACATTGTTAATTACATGTCCAATTTTTCACTTGATGACAAAACATTCACATATCCAATATTCTACACTCTATATGTACTGACAAACCTTTCATTTAAGATGTCAAATTTTGGTTTGTGAAATATGTTTTATTTTAAAAGTATACGTCCTTAGCCATGATAATACATGTACATGAACTGTGAATCTTGACGCTAAGCACACTTCTGTGTGTGCAAATACAGTAAGTGTGTACATCTCCATACACATGTACATGCACATGAATGTAAATGTACACTGTACGTGTATTTTGCAAACTCTGCAAATAAATTATTTCCAAGGCATAAAAAATATTCAGGAAGGGTTTGTAAGCTCAAGCAAAGCCTGTAAAATGGTAGGTCAAAGGGCATACTGCATCGTTCTCAAACTCTGCCTCAAAACTCTGCAAGTTTATTGTCCTACTCCAAGTTGGTCAGAAATCATTTTGGCACAATCATTACTGAGAGCAGAACCATTAAAATCAACTGTTTCTCCAAAGAATTTCTAAATCCATTTATTCTTAAACTCTCCAAAGTGGAAACTAGCCACATAAAATGGTCATTTTATACTCATCTACTCCTAAACGAGTTCATTTGTCTTGCATCTGCCATCCCTTAAACTCACTGGTGCCACGCAAATTGACAAATTAGATTTCAGTTCAAAAGCACCGACCAGTTTGTCAAGCAAGCAGACAACAGCTGCGCACCAGAGTTAAATCACCGAATTCTGAGTGTTCATTTCAATCGGGCAATCTTTAAAAAAAAGGCACTCCAGGATGTTCTTCCACAAAGACAGTCTTCACTTCAGATTCTGATGCCAGGTTAGAGTGGTATTTTCCCTTGTTCAGCAATAATTAATTAATTCCCTTCCCACATGATGCACTGGATGAAAGCAGAGACAGTTCAAAATGTACACGAGTGGTGTCTCTTGAAGGGTGAATCTGTTTGCCCGAAGTGTGCAAGTACATGTACATGTATGTACCAAATGTACACATGCACAATACCTTATGCACACATGTACAGACATGTACAGGTGTGTACATGTATATACACTGTACATAATGGGCATACCCAGAAAGCAATTGCGGTTTAATCTGAAGACTTGCCTGTCAGATTCTGAAGCACAACTACATGTACATGTACAAACACTGTTCCGGGGGGGGGTTGATGAATGGGAGGGAAAAGAGCAATTTGGGGTGGACATACACATGATGGCGGCCCCGTGGAGGGTGTTTTGTCTAGCAAAGCGAATGCTTTGCAGCAACTGTGTATACGGAATTAAACTTCCTCACTCGACTTCCAATTATTCCGAATCTGGATAGAGAAGAAAATACATAGAATTAGGCTAATTCCAGAAAGGGGTCAAGTTTTTGTGTCCCTGTCACATCTGACATATGATTTTGTAAGTTCATAACACATTTATAATTTCCAAGAGTGATGAATTAATGCAAATTACATGTACCTGCCAAACAAATAGTAAGTGTTTGAAATCAATTCTGGTGATATTTCCTTGTCAAATAACAAAGGTCGGATGTAACAGGGACACAAAAATGTCACGCTTTTGGACCCCTAATTCTGGAATTACCCATTAATCTTGGTACCATACAACAGTGGAGGGTGGGTAGGGCTGAGTCAATTCGAATAATTTACCATTCGAATATTCCACCTTCAATTTGACCGAATATTCAGTCGCCCCGACCAGCAGACTGTTGATGATCAAACCATGTACAAAATCAGTTGCAGCACACACAATTGTACATTATGATCGATAGAATAACTTTTCACATCTAGGACTATCTCCATGATTTAGCATGATTGACGAGATAAACAAGACTCCTTGCCCTGTTGAAAACTTCTATTCTTTAAAATTTTTTAATGAATAATTTACTTTTTGATTTAAATCTTTGTAACATTTCTGACCTTTTAGCTGTTTCGGCAAGCCAGCTGAAACAGCTATTGCTTTTCTAATTAATTTTTTTTTTCCTTTTTTTTCCAGCCCGAATCCTTCCACCAGTCGACTTTGGCAGTTTACTAAATCTGATCCACTTTAAACTTGGCAGACATTTTTAAACTTGACAGACCTTTAAGCAATTATCCAAGAAGACATTTGGGATGATGACGTTATCACGTGATTTCTTTTTGAATTTTGAATATTTAATTTTTCCCATTGACTTTGTACAAGTTTTCAAGCCACTAGTTTGAAACCTTCACAATGTTTGATGGCTGTCAAAGTGATAGCCAACAAAGACCCTCATGCAAGAATTATTCTGAAAGAATGATGACGTCATCATGTGATTTTACTACTGATTTTTCAATATTTATTTCAGCCTATTGTCTTTGTACACGTTTTCAAGGCACTATTTTGAAACCTTCGCAAAGTTTGATCACTATCAAAGTGACAGCCAAAAAAGACCCTGGTATAAGAATTATTGTAAATAACTGATGTCATGATGATGTCATCATGTGATTTGCTATTGATTTTTCAATATTTTTCAATGTTTGATCATCATCAAAGTTACAGACAACAAAGACCCTGAGGCAAGATTTATTGAAAATGAATGACGTCATCACCTTATTTTATATTGATTTTTGAATATTGTATTTTTCCCAATTGGTTTTGTACACGTTTTTCTACTTGACACTAGTGAACGAGTAATCATTTACTTCGGCTCAAGATTACTATAAGAAGGAAAAAGAAATCGGGTACTTTACGATGTGTTATTTG